CCTGGAGAAAAAAGTGAAACCAATTTTGATTGTGAGTTGACAATTTCGATTATTAGTTGACAATTTTGATTGTGAGTTGACAATTTTGATTGTGAGTTGACAATTTTTCGCAGAAGCGGAAAATGAATTTGGAGAAAAAAGTGAAACCAAAAATGAGTCTTGACAAAATGTGAATCCGAATCTGAATTGGAGAAAAAAATTGAATCCGAATCTGAAAGCGAAAATGAATCTCGAGAAAAAAGTCGAATCCGAAAATCAATCTGGAGAAAAAAGTGAAACCGAAAATGCATCTCGAGAAAAAAGTGAATCCCAATTTGAATCTGGAGAAAAAAAGTGAATCCAAAAATGAATCTCGAAAAAAAAGTGAATCCGAATCTGAATGTGGAGAAAAAAACTGAATCCAAAATCAATCTGGAGAAAAAAGAGATGGGTAAAATGAACCTGGAGAAAAAAGTGAAACCAATTTTGATTGTGAGTTGACAATTTCGATTATTAGTGGACAATTTTGATTGTGAGTTGAAAATTTTGATTGTGAGTTGACAATTTTGATTGTGAGTTGACAATTTTTCGCAGAAGCGGAAAATGAATTTGGAGAAAAAAGTGAAACCAAAAATGAGTCTTGACAAAATGTGAATCCGAATCTGAATTGGAGAAAAAAATTGAATCCGAATCTGAAAGCGAAAATGAATCTCGAGAAAAAAGTCGAATCCGAAAATTAATCTGGAGAAAAAAGTGAAACCGAAAATGAATCTCGAGAAAAAAGTGAATCCCAATTTGAATCTGGAGAAAAAAAGTGAATCCAAAAATGAATCTCGAAAAAAAAGTGAATCCGAATCTGAATGTGGAGAAAAAAACTGAATCCAAAATCAATCTGGAGAAAAAAGAGATGGGTAAAATGAACCTGGAGAGAAAAGTGAAACCAATTTTGATTGTGAGTTGACAATTTCGATTATTAGTTGACAATTTTGATTGTGAGTTGACAATTTTGATTGTGAGTTGACAATTTCGATTATTAGTTGAAAATTTTGATTGTGAGTTGACAATTTTGATTGTGAGTTGACAATTTTTCGCAGAAGCGGAAAATGAATTTGGAGAAAAAAGTGAAACCAAAATTGAGTCTTGACAAAATGTGAATTCGAATCTGAATTGGAGAAATAAATTGAATCCGAATCTGACAGCAAAAATGAATCTCGAGAAAAAAGTCAAATCCGAAAATAAATCTGGAGAAAAAAGTGAAACTGAAAATTAATCTCGAGAAAAAAGGGAATCCCAATTTGAATCTGGGGAAAAAAAGTGAATCTAAAAATGGGCGTGCTGAAGTGGGCGTGTCTGACCACGCCCAAAAAAAAACGGAAGTTGAAAGTCAAAGCGTAAGGAATTAGCAAAATAAGCCCCACCCACTGGAAGTGACATCATAATTAGATTTAAGTAGGCGTGTCTGAGCACACCCACAAAAAATCGGAAGTTGAAAGTCAAAGCGTAAGGAAGTAGCGAAATAAGCCTGCCCACCGGAAGTGACGTCATAATTAGATTAAATTGCTGTGTTTGACCACGCCCACAAAATATCGGAAGTTGAAAGTCAAAGTGTAAGGAAGTAGGGAAATAAGCCCCGCCCACCGGAGAAGACGTTATAATTAGATTGGCTTGTCTGACTACGCCCACAAAAAATCGGAAGTTGAAAATCAAAGCGTAAGGAAGTAGCAAAAAAAGCCCTGCCCACCGGAGGTGACATCATAATTAGATTAAGTGGGCTTGTCTGTGATTGATAGCTTTAGGCACAAAAAATTATATATTACATACCAAACCCACAATATAAGGCTGCCAGCATCTCCTAACAAATGTGATAGCAAGATTTGCAAGCCCATGCTGTGGCTCTGTCTGTATCTACAAAGAAACAAGACAACTGCTAACACTTGTATTATAGAAATGTCTTTACGGAATTATTAAATTTATATAATTTCAGAAAAACATGTTTAAGTAACATAAGAAAGAACAATATATTTTGAAGCCAGGATCAATGGTATAACCAAGATTGGCATACTGGATCATCTCTTATTGATGCAGCGTTACTACAGCAGGAAACCTACACAAACTAACTATATTTACACTGGATAATTCTATCAGCTCTAAACAGTTCATCCTGCAGTAAGCAACATCTGTTGTTAAAAATCACCTACCAGCGTAACATATGTTTCACATCATTCAACCATGAACGACGAATGATAACATTCTTGTCTGCAACGATATCACCCTGACTCTTTTCAATTTGCCCCTAGACAGGTTCAACAACAGATATAAAGCACAAGATGATAAGAAGCACACCCAAGATTGGAGTTACCTGAAACACATCAAGTAATAACATGTTTATTTCACATGTTTACATACCCTGTGTTTTCTCTATTTTAAAATAATTGTCACCACTAAATGCAGAAGATACTTTTGAACCAACAACATCTTGAGATACCACTAAAAAGTTTTCATTATATAGTCAAGACAATGAAATATTCTAGTCTTGATAATGGTAATACTTTCAAAAATATCCTGGAGACAGATAAAATGTATAGTAATGATCTTTCTCACCTGCCAACAGGGATTTCAAAAGAAAACAAAGCCAACATTTGTGTTCTTCTTCCAGGGACAAAAAAGTCAGCAATGCAGCTTGTTTGAATTGTTTAAATTTGTATTCAGTCGGTTACCATGAATGATGAAGAAAGATATGCCTAAAAATACGTTTGTTGGCTCTTTGGCATAAGTGAAACTTTTGAACTGGTAAACATTATATGGGTTGCTAGCTAGCTGAAAATATTTCTCCTGTGATTTATAGCTTTGGGTAAAACAAACCGTATATTACATACCGAACCAACAATATTAGGACTGCCAGCATCTCCTAACAAATGTGATAGTAGGATTTGCAATGCCGATGCTGTGGCTCTGTCTATATCTACAAAGAAACAAGACAACTGCTAACAATTATACTATAGAAATGTCTTTACCGAAATAATAAATTTATATAATTTCAGAAATACATATTTAACTTGCATAAGAAAGAACAATATATTTTGAAGCCAGGAATAGCATACTGGATCATCTCTTATTGATTCAGTGTTTACTACAGCAAGATACCTACAGAAACTAACTATATTTATACTGCATAATTCTATCAGTTAAAATCACCTACCAGCATAACATATCAAATACATCCTGGAGTCAGATAAAACTTAACAATGATCTTTCTCACCTGCGAACAGGGATTTCAAAATAAAACAAAGCCAACATTCGTGTTCTTCTACCAGAGACAAAAAGGTCAGCAATGCATCTTGTTTGAGTTATTTGAACCTGGTATTAGGTTGGTTGCCATGAATGATGAAGAAAGAAATGCCTAAAAATACATTTGTCGGCTCTTTAGCATAGGTGCAAAATTTTGAACTGGTAAACATGATATGGGTTGCTAGCTATATATAATAACTCTTCATACTCTTCGTGCATCAGTATATATAGTAACTCTTTGTGCATCAGTATATATAATAACTCTTCGTGCATCAGTATATATATATATAAACTCTTCGTACATCAGTATACATGGTATTTGTTTCACCAAGACAATATATTTCCTGGGTCGTAGCAAGCTCCCAGTTGCTAAGCATATTGTACAATTTGCTTGAGAAATTAATATACCTATATAAATTTCTGGCTACATTATATAACCTATGATACATAAGTGTCCTGTGCAAGTAAAGAATCTTACCTTGGCTATCGAAGAGGGTAAATTCCAATCATGAAAGTATATATCTCAAAATGCAACGTGGCCACTAGGAAACCTGAGAATGTTACAAATAATAAGCATAAGTCACCATATTATAGTTAACTCAATGTAGACTGTAAAATGGAATGGTTACTATCTTGATATAGTAATTGTTGGTTGGTTTTTCCCCCATCAGATTTCATGAAGAGTAAAGTGCTAGCAACTTTCCTTACATCCAAAATATAAGGTAAATGCATCTGGATCGATAACACATACTGGAGCAACATTAAGCAGATATAATAAGATGAATAGTACATAATTCAGTATCAATATTCAATATGTGGCTTCAATTCATGAATTTAAAGCCTGAAAGTTTCCAGTTACTAAACAGCTAGTACAATTTCCTTGGGAATTAATTAATAATTAATTTAATATTCTACATTATAAAACCAATATAAGGCTCATTTGAAAAGGAAACAATCTTACCTTGGCTTCTGAAGAAACAGGAACATATCCAACACAAATCTTGAACAAAAAACAAAGCGCAGGTCAAACTATGATTAGTACAAGAATTTCAACGAATAAAGGTGTGGCTGTTTTACAAAGCAAAAGCAGTCAGTTTTACATGTCACATTGACAGAATGCTGCCATTTTAAACTAAAATTGCTACTGGCCCAGGTAATAAATTACCTACAAATAAACACATGGCAGAGAAGATTATAACCTTTTTAATTTTGTTCAAATGATTTCTAGCTTAAGTATCCCTTCATCCAGGGAAATACAGCATCCAGCACGGCAAATTAAGGTGGTCTTACACAAAATTTTGATATAAAATTGCAAAGTTTTCCGAATTTGAAAAATACTAAATATATCATCTTTATTCTCTCCCCCATCCTATTCCGAGTTTTTTTCCTTCATAGCTTGATGGAAAAGGGAAAAAATCGCGTTTTTATCTCGGTCACCATGAAATTCATCCATAGCAACGCCCTTAGCAACCTCTGTTTTCTCCAAAAACCCTTCTGTTTTCTGGTCGTTTCAAAAAATATTTATGTACTAGGCCTATCCCCCCCTTAGTTGATGTTTGTAACAAACTGCTGACCACCTTTACCGTCAACATAAATGAATATTTATATTTTAACCCACGCTCGAAATCGGCATATATGTAAATTTTTGTCACAGAAATTATTGCCTAATCTTACTGATATTTTGGTGGCTTTTTGTTGTATTTCTTCGCAATTTAATTTCAATTTGTGTTCAGATGCCTAAAGATTTCAAAAGAAAGAAAAAACGAAAGTTCACTGGCAATCGCTATGGTGCTAAACCAGCGAAGAAAGCGTGTGTCGATAATGCAAATGACACACACTCAGAAGCGTCTACTTCAAGCGATGCTTTCCATACTTCTGCTTCGGCGAGAAAGATTGACGGCCACAATATTTTAGATGGGAGTAAGGAAAAAACTGTTAATGTTTTGGGCTACCGCTTCATTGACATGGAGTTATTATTCGCATTTGTGACTGAAATGTGTTGTAAACAATGTGGCGACTCAACTCTTGTTCTGGAAGATAACAAACACGAAAGGAAAGGTTGTGTATCCCATCTCAGAGTACGATGCCAAAGTTGTGGGTGGGTATACACGTTTTACACTTCTAAGAAGCAGGAATACGCTTTTGATGCGAATAAAAGATTTGTGTATGCGATGCGTAGTCTTGGTAAAGGCCATACAGCGGCCAAACGATTTTGTGCCCTAATGAACATGCTACCTCCCCCTCAGCCTACTGCATACAGGGCTTGTAACATCGCGATAGCAAAGGCAGCAAAGACAGTGGCTGTGAAAACAATGAATGATGCTGCCAATGAGCTAAGAAATGATCAATCCAGGGATATCAACCAGTGTGCTGTTTCTTGTGATGGTACATGGCAGAGACGGGGCCATTCTTCCTTGAATGGGTGTGTGACAACACTGTCAATGGAGAATGTGAAGTGCCTTGATGTTGAAGTTTTAAGTAAAGTGTGTCATGGCTGTCAGAGAGTAGAAAGGGAAGTTGATGTGGGAAAGAAGGCTGCAAAGAAAGCAGAGCATGTTGGTAAGTGTAAGGTGAATCACATAGGCTCATCTGCTTCGATGAAAACTGAAGGTGTGAAGCGAATATTTGAGAGGAGTGAAAAAGATCGCAAGCTTCAGTATACAGAGTACTTTGGGGATGGTGATAACAAAGCCTATTCTGAAGTGGAGAATGTGTATGATGGCATACATGTAGAGAAAAAAGAATGTGTTGGACATGTTCAGAAAAGGGTTGGCACAGCTTTGCGAAAATTGAAGAAAGAGCATAAAGGAATTGGAGGAAAGGGAAAGCTGAAAGACGCAATGATTGATAAACTTCAGAATTACTATAGTATTGCCATTCGTAGCAGTGGCGGATTCAGCGTACATCAAACCGGTCAAGTGATGTACGTAAAATTCCCAAAGCCTAGCTTTGTTTAATTATCATTCAGCATAGTATCACTATCACTATCTCAAACTATGCGGTTGGTGCTGGTTTCGGTTTGAATCCGTTTGACTATATGGGGGATATTCCGTTTATATAATTCGGTTTTGTTCTGTCGCATTATGATGCAAAGCAAAGTTTCCGAACATGATGCAGTGTTACAGCGGTCTTTATGACCGGTTTGCAGGGCTTTCCCCCACGGAATTGAGACTTGTGATTGGTCAAATCTCACGTTGCCATAGAAGCAAACTTTTTTGACCGGTCTGCGGGCAAATTTTAGGGGGTTTGCCACAGTAGCAGGCAGGCCAGCTATGCGAGGCCTTCGATGATTGGTTACTTTCAAATACTTGCAAGGCTTTTATTGGTTTATTTCTCTGCCCGGTCATGACGCACATGGCTGCATGGTTTTATTATCTTATTACAGCGGAGCTATAGACATAGTTTATTATAGTATTTCTATCTTTCCGAAAGTGTTTGTTGACCCTACGTCTCTACCTGTGTGTAATATTACTTAAAATACATGTCTAAAATGGAAAAGAACGTTTTCTCAGAAGCAAAACCTGCCCTTCAAGAGAATAATTTGAAGTTTTGTCCAATTTATTCGAGTCGTATCAGTGATAAGCATAGCTATAAGGAACAAATCAATTCTAAGCCTGTGTGAGCGAATTATTGACCGCTCGTGAGTCGTCTTCGCCGAAGTTTCGAAGCGGGATTCTACGTTTACGTCTATTTAATAAGGCTGGATTTAAAAGTGGTTAAAGCGCGAGTATATGTTTATATGAAACGAACAATTTACATATGTTCTGTGTGAGTGCGGGTTCTTAAGGCCAAAGGTCATTCGGGCACTGCATATAAAGTGTATAACAATAATGAGTACGTTATAACTAATAAATCTATCCGAAAATTTTTTGATGGGGGTTGTGCGTTAGGCTGAATCCGCCCCTGATTCGTAGTAATTCTGCTGACTTAGAAGCTATGAAATCAGCCATTTATGCCTCTCTGTTCCATTGTGCTTCATCAAAAAGAAGAAACCTTTATCACCATTGCCCTGATGGGCCTGAAAGTTGGTGCCGTTTTAAGCAGGATAAAGCCAATCAGACAAATAACTATATTCCAGGACCTGGCTTACCAGATGATATAATTGGTTTAGTAAAACCAATCTTTTTAAGACTGAGCAGTAATGAGCTCTTAAGCAAGTGTTTGGATGGAAAGACCCAAAACCAGAACGAATCAATAAATGGTATGATCTGCAATAGGATTCCAAAGAATGTATTTGTTGGGTTTGATGTTCTGGAGCTTGGTGTCTATGATGCTGTGGCACACTTTAAAGAAGGATTAAAAGCCGAGCCATATTACTTTCTGGGCGTACAATGTTACATGCCATATATCACTAAAATGTTATGAGCTTAATACCTTTACTGGCTAGCACGTTGAAAGATTCCCTCGAAATCGGCTTCATCTTCATGCTAGATATTTAAAGGGAAGATTCGTATTAAATTTGGAGCTGAATTAGCTAGCTTTTTAGGAAGAGTATGTCATATTGTACATGGTTTTTTGCATTATTTCTGACCAAATCATTAGCTTTAGAAGATTAAGAGGAAAACAAAATACTTAACTTTGAACACACAGCACGACCAGCTTCCTCACAAAGGTGAAAGCTACGAGGTCCACATGGCATCATCTCTGTGGCACCGCCATTTTGAATTTCACCATTAAAAGGGTAATTTCGCTTGCCTTCAGTTTCTTCCTTGTACAAAACACTGTCTTTGGAATCTATTACGACATCAAGAAGCTAAAGAAACAATTGTAAAATAACAAAGCTAGTCTAAATCAAAGATATCTTTCTTTTTCTGCTTTCCCTGCCAGTCATGTTAGAAGCAATATAGGGGATGGATAATCAAAGTGCTTCCACGAAATAAATTTCACACAAAGCGAGTTTGAAAAGAAATTCCTACCATAAAAGCGCTTGGTCCATCTCTCAGACTACGACTCGAATATCGAGTTCGTTGAACAAACGACGAACCAAGATTCAACTTTTGACCGGAATCTTGTAATAAAATTGACGAGGGTGAAGATCCGCCCTGTTCTGTGAGCAGCACCTTTTGTTCTGCATTGTCTAAAATATAAGCAGATAATTTGTTCATTTTGTAAATGCGTGAACAATGGCCAATCTTTTTTAACATTACAAACCTGACTCCTTGAGTTCGATTCTCATTTCAACATTATTCCGGGTATCTTCAATATTAGTTTCCTCATCCTCTCTACGAGATGCAAGACGATCTTTGACAAGATCTACAATCAATTTATCACTGTCTGCGCTCTTGCCAGGAAATTCTGTTGTAGTTTCAAGGCATTGTCTGGCTCCTTCTTTAATGATTTCGGCCGATAAATCATCTGAGATACAACAATATCAATTTAACATTCCGCCAACGGAAATGCCCAACCGAAACATTGATAAGGTTTGACAGTTCGTTAACAAGTTGTAGGAGAAATCATTCAGAGCACAATTTGACCGAGAACTTTTAAAAAACAATGTTAAGTTCTCAAATAAATGAGCTTAGCAAAGAATTGTTTTGGAATTAAACTTTCTTACATCTCTGTCTCTCCAACCGCTGGTCGTGAAGTTTGTGTTTCATCGATCCACGAAGTATTTCCAGTTGGTCTTCATACCAGAATCTCAGCCCATCCTTGACACACACAAATGCAGCCATTGATTGAGTCAAACGACTTTTGTACTGAGTCTAGGGTACCAGTAAATAATGCTAAATAACCGCAAAATAACCCCTAAATAACCTCCCAAATAACCCCCCAAATAACCCCCCAAATAACCCCCCAAATAACCCCCCAAATAACTCCCCAAATAACCCCTCAAATAACCCCCCAAATAACCCCCCAAATAACCCCCCAAATAACCCCCAAATAACCCCCCAAATAACCCCCCAAATAACCCCCCAAATAACCATAAATAACCCCAAAAAACCCCGAATAACACTACAATAACACTAAAATAACCCTAAACGACCCAAAATAACCCTAAATAACACTAAGTAACCTCCAATACCCCCAAATAACCCCGTGGAACCACCAAATAACCCAAAATAACCCCCAAAAACCCCCCAAAAAACCCAAATAACCACAAAGTAACCCTAAATATTCCCCAAAATAACCAAAAAAAAAACCAAATAACCACCAACCAACCCTAAATAACCCAAAACCCTAAATAATCCTAAAAAACCCTAAAAAAACCCCCACAAACTTCCAAATAACCCCCAAATAACCCCCAAATAACCTCCAAATAACCTAGAAACCTTAAATTACCCCTAAGTAACCTCCAAGTAACCCCCAAGTAACCCCCAAGTAACCCCCAAGTAACCCCCAAGTAACACCAAAGTAACCCCCAAGTAACCCCAAAATAACCTCCAAATAACTCCCAAATAAGCCCCCAAATAACCCCAAATTACCCCCAATTAACCCCAAATTATTCCAAATAACCCAAAATAACCCAAAAAACACTAAAATAACCCCTAAATAACCCTAAATAACCGTAAATAATGCTAAATAACCAAAAAATAACCCCCAAATAACCCCAAAAAGCCCCCCAAAAAACCCTTAAACAACCCTTAAACAACCCCAAGTGACCCCAAATAACCCCCAAATAACCCCCAAATAACCCCAAATAACCCCCAAATAACTCTAAATAACCGTAAAAATAACCCAAAATAACCCCCAATTAACCACCAAATAACCCCAAAATAACCTCCAAATAACCCTAAATAACCCTCAAATAACCCTAAATAGCCCTAAGTAACCTCAAATAACCCTAAATAACCGTTAATAATGCAAAATAACCTGAAATTAACCTCCAAAAACCCCAAGTTACCCCAAATAACCCCCAAATTAAAAGTCAAAGTGTAAGGAAGTAGAAGTAAATATAAACTCTTCGTTCATCAGTATATATAATAACTCTTCGTGCATCAGTATATATATATATAAAGTCTTCGTACATCAGTATATATGGTATTTTTTTCACCAAGGCAATATATTTCCTGGGTAGTAGCAAGCTCCCAGTTGCTAAGCATATTGTACAATTTGCTTGAGAAATTATTATATACCTATATAAATTTCTGGCTACGTTATAACCCATGATACATAAGTGTCCTGTGCAAGGAAAGAATCTTACCTTGGCTATCGAACAGGGTAAATTCCAATCATCAAAGTATATATCTCAAAATGCAACGTGGCAACTAGGAAACCTGAGAATGTTACAAATAATAAGCATAAGTCACCATATTATAGTTAACTCTATGTAGACTGTAAAATGGAAAGGTTAGTCAACTCTCTTGATATAGTAATTGTTGGTTGGTTTTTTCCCCATCAGATTTCATGAAGAGTAAAGTGCTAGCAACTTTCCTTACATCCAAAATATAAGGTAAATGCATCTGGATTGATCACACATACTGGAGCAACATTAAGCAGATATAATAAGATGAATAGTACATATTTGAGTATCAATATTCAATATGTGGCTTCAATTCATGAATTTAAAGCCTGAAAGTTTCCAGTTACTAAACAGCTGGTACAAATTCCTTGGGAATTAATTAATATACCTTTCTACATTATAAAACCAATATAAGTGTCATGTGAAAAGGAAACAATCTTATCTTGGCTCCTGAAGAAACAGGAACATATCCAACACAAATCTTGAACAAAAAACAAAGTGCAGGTCAAACTATGATTAAGTACATGAATTTCAATGAATAAAGGTGTGGCTGTTTTACAAAGCAAAAGCAGTCAGTTTTACAGGTCTCATTGACAGAATGCTGCCATTTTAAACTAAAATCGCTACTTGCCCAGGTAATAAATTACCTACAAATAAACACATGGCAGAGAAGATTATTACCTTTTTAATTTTGTTCAAATGATTTCAAGCTTAAGTATCCTTTCATCCAGGGAAATACAGCATCCAGCACGGCAAATTAAAGAAGGATTTAAAAAAGAGCCATATTACTTTCTGGGCGTACAATGTAACATGCCATATATCACTAAAATGTTATGAATTTAATACCTTTACTGCCTAGCACGTTGAAAGATTCCCTCGAAATCGGCTTCATCTTCATATTAGTTATTAAAAGAGAAAATTCGTATTAAAATCGAAGCTGAATTAGCTAGCTTTTTGGGAAGAGTATTTCATATTGTACATGGTTTTTCTGCATTATTTCTGACCAAACGATTTGCTTTAGAAGATTAAGAGGAAAACAAAATACTTAACTTTGAACACACAGCACGACCAGCTTACCCACAAAGGTGAAAGTCACAAGTTCCACATGGCATCATCTCTGTGGCATCGCCATTTTGAAATTCACCTCCACAAGTTCCCCAACTGAATCAGTTGAACTGATATTAAACTATCACAGCTTTAAGAAAATATTTCTACTTCATCTTTTGACAACTGGCTGTTCAGATAAACTTATATACAACGAAAAAAAGCAAAGAAACCCTGAGCTACATTCAGTAATTCAGTGGGAACTAGCAGAGTGCAATGATCGTTGCATACCACCCCAGCGGGGGAAAGAAACCCCCACCGTGGCAGCATACAGCAAGTCGAAGAACTCAAGCCAGAACCCACCTTTTAGTCAACGGCGAACTCCTTCTTCTTCGAACAATCTTCAATTTTGCTGACAATCGTAGAAGATCACATGGTATGATAATGCCGATAAACTTCGGTGATAATTCAAAGTGGTTTGCTGATTTTAATTTGCGATTCCTGTGCGAATACTTGACCGATTTTAATAAAAATGGGACCCTTTTAAAGAAGAAATTGTCCTCAGTGGATACATGTTTTTTTAGGTCGATATGTTGCCAATTCGCTATGATATTCACCTTAAAGTGCATGCGTTTTATATATTATTCAATATTACACATCAAAGCAGCCTAATCCTTAAAATATTGCCCAAAATGAAATAATAGAAACCTTGGATCAAATGAAAATCAGACTTTTTGAAGATGGTGTTCCTGTACCGAGCACCATATCACTCACAGAGGGTTATTTTAAGGCAGCTGGAATGCTGATAGCTTGCAGAATTGTGCAAGGGGGTCCTGCACCAAATTTTATGGCACAGTGGGTGTTCGATTATTTTGCTCATGGTTTGCATCAGGTGCCTTTGTGCACTGATTACATCCAAAATGAGCTGCCAAAAAAGGTAGCTGAAAAGGTACAATTCACCCCATTATATTTAGGCTTAAATATTGTCACAGCAATTGCCATTGACGAACAACAAAATGCTGCCGAATCATTTAGGCAACAACATTTGAATTACACATGCACTGTAATTTTTAAACATAATAATTTTTTTGATAATGAGTTGCAAGAAATAATTTGTGATGATGAAGAGTTAATTACAGTGGTAAATTCAGTTGGTTAGGTTTGGTAAAAATATACTGCAAACTATTCATTAACCCACCATTTTCCTTCTGTTTTTAACATATCTGACTTCTAACTCACTCTATGAAATCAGTAAAAGCTTACATACGTGTTTATTAAGTAGTGTGCTAAAAAATGTTGTTAAGGACCAGATAATGAGGCAATAGATAATAATGAGCTTGCGACTGTATCTTTGACAAATATAGCCGAATATTGGAGCAAATATCATATAGCTTGCAATAAATATTGTCTGGAAAAGGCCTCCTAAGGGATAATTTATGCTGAAAACAATAAATAAATAATGATTGTGTAAAAAAATTATATTACATTCACATGTGATAGCAATTCTAACAGCATTGGGTAATAATAAAGGATTGTAATTATATCTTGTGTAATAATTGCAGTGAAATTAACAACCAGCATTTCCAAATTTTGCTTGATTGCATACAAAATATTAGCTTGAATTTGAGGTTGATATTGTTATTATATTCTAACTACAATGTTTAGGTTGAGATGTTATACCAGGAAATTACATGACAATTATCAATTAATTGTCCGATTTTCAGAAGTCTTCACTTCAGTCTCACCATGCACAAATATTAAAGCATCTACGAAATTTTGCGAGGTGAAGCGTCAGAAGCGATCCATATAGTTGAGTAAATCAAGAATAAGATACCAACAGTGACTTATTAAAACACGAGGCGTGGTTGTTCTTTGTGGTGAATATGGTTGAATTTTCGGGATTGTTTTTTTTTCTTGCTCAGGGAAGTGAGAGAACGAATAGTGAAACATCATGTAATACGATAGGTAGCCCAACACTGGTGTTCTGCGCGCGTACACGCTACTCAGTGATTAGCATATATTAATTTATACTAAGGTTGGCAACTTTATCACCAATTATCAATAATATATCACATACATACATGTCAAACTTCGATAATTTGGATCCAAAACCATAGTCAAGAACCTCACCAGTGTCAACAGAAATAACAAAATCAATTCCAAAGTTTGCAGTGAACCCTTGCTTAGCCCATGTGCCATCATAACTCACAGCAATCTCTGCAACATCTGACTCAACAATGACTGTGTTATTTCCATATCTACGAGACTAATTATTGGTAACTTTCAACTCTCCACCTAATTCCCAATTATGCAAGGACTGAAATGCACTTGCTAGGTTTGAAAGTTCAATCATTCGATAACCATACTCGCCATCAAAATCCTCTCTTCTATCTACAGGGTGTATAAAAAAAAAGTAGACAATTTTGAAATGTTAAGAAAACTATAAATTTATCAAAATATCTCATAGATTTATGCAAGTATGGGTACTTTACCATCTTCAGGTCATTCTAACACTAAAAACAAACAGAAAAATTAACCTCGAAAAATGGAAGAGCGGTTTGTGGAAGCATCATTTTGAATGGCTTGTGCAAACATGAATGAGAGGTTTAAAATCCAATTTGAATTCAAGGGCTGAACGTTTGGGTAATTGTTTACAAAGAATCGAAATTTCAGAAATTTTGATGAAAATTAAGTCAGCCGCGCAACTGCGTAAACGTGGGCTTTTTTCCGTTTAACTCGCAGCTTGAGTAACTTTTTTCATGCACGAATGATTTCATGCACGAGTGCTTGCTCGGGTGATTAAACTAACAATGGTGTTGTGAAAAAAGTTACTCAAGCTGCGAGTTAAACGGCAAAAAGCCCACGTTTACGCAGTTGCACGGCTGACTTAATTTTCATCAAAATTTCTGAAATTTCGATTCTTTGTAAACATATACCCAAACGTTCAGCCCTTGAATTCAAATTGGATTTTAAACCTCTCATTCATGTTTGCACAAGCCATTCAAAATGATGCTTCCACAAACCGCTCTTCCATTTTTCGAGGTTAATTTTTCTGTTTGTTTTTAGTGTTAGAATGACCTGAAGATGCCAAAGTACCCATACTAGCACAAATCTATGAGATATTTTGATAAATTTATAGTTTTTTAAACATTTCAAAATTGTCTACTTTTTTTATACACCCTGTATATCTTCACTTGTAAGCTTTCGTATTGAAGCAGTTTCATTCAGTGATGTTGACCCACATGGCGTTGATGTCACTGATGAAACACACTCAGAAGAGCTACTTTGACCATTGAAGCACGATTGTCTTGCTCATAAATCTGAATCCTGCAATATTAGAACAGAGTACGAAGGTATTTTATAAACAAAATCATTATCTGAGTATAATCTTTTATCCAAATTTAATAAACATCCAACAATCACTGTAAACATAAGTATACACAGTATCTCAAACTTAGATAAAATCGAACTTAGATAAAACTAGAATAAAACTTAGATAAAACTTACAGGAGATATCTTCCAGTAGTTGTTTTTCAAAATATTTATTTGGTTGTCTTTTAAAAGACAATTGTTGAATGGTTTTATAGGTGGTTTTAAGGTCCACTCTTCACTCTTGATGCGTCCGCCATTTTAATTTAGTTTTTGAGATACTTCATGTTGTGCAAATGAAATGGATTCACACCAAAACGAAAAATGTAAACAAAGCTCGCACATGCGTAGAAGCGACTGGAAATTGCGGTGAAGAGCGGTGAAAATTGCGGTGAAGAGCGGTGGAAATTGCGGTGAAGAGCGGTGGAAATTGCGGTGAAGAGAGCCGAAATTGCGGTGAAGAGCGATTGAATTTTTTTTTTTTGCCTGTTTTAATATCATAAAAAGTATATTCGATATCACATACTTTTTATAAAGCATGCACAATACAAAAGAAAAAAATTACGCATATAAACTTAGATATAAACTAGAGAAATCTACTTTATCTTATATTAGAGTTCCATTCCGACAACGAGATATCTGTAGTTGAAGGAATGTTTACAGTTCTCTAAGAAGGACTATCACGAACACACACAACGTGTTTTTTCAAGTCACAAATGCAAAATACACAAATATTAATAGAATAATACCCATTATTCGCTGCGAGCAAGCCTTTACGTTTCTCCTTCCCCATCTTTTGGCGCCATAGTTCGTTCTGAAATCAAATAAGCAAGGAAACACTAAATTAAAGTAACCGCTCACTTGCATTTGACATTTTCAACCGAAATATACAAGATAAAGCAGTGAAAATGGGCAGGAATATCACCATGTACCTAAGCAAGACTTCCAACTTTTCTCGAACTTCTTTGAGACTGCAAGTGCAAAGACTTCGTCTAGATTGTAGGTTCCACTGCCTTTTATTACTTCAAAGACAATGTTTTAAGCAGTGGTTTTTAAACAGGAGGCCTGGTAAATTTCAAAATTTTCTTGGGGGAGGAGATACCCCCATCCTTCGTTCCCGGGTTTTTGGAGTACAGGAGATGCCCTCCCCCTTGACAGTGCTCTATCCTTGCGGCCCTGACCATGAGGACCTATTACGTGCTAATCACAATGTCAGATATTTCCTATTTATTACGTAAATTACGTAATGATTCCACAACCATCTTTTTAAAATTCTTTTACGACAGTGTTCTGGGAATCGAACCCAGAAGCCACAAACGCGTTTTTATCACTATCAAACAACACGTTTTGGTTTGGCCCCAGGCCTGGACACTCTTTTGTAAAGCCAAACGAAAAGGAGGGAAAATGGAGTACCCGGTGAAAAACCCTCCAAAGGTAACCTGAATTTCAGGTTACCTGACCGGCGGTCCGAATTTGGTATTTTTATTAGATATCGTCCGCAATGACATGCACTTCAGTTATATTTCATGAACTCCGGTCGAAATATATGAAAAAACAAGCGGTATGGCTTACCTATTTGTGCTTCTGATCACCTTTAAACACTATGGGTACACCCCAAAGTAAGTGAAAAATGCACCCACGGGACCCCCTGAAGGGTGCCGTCCCATAATACCCCTGTGGCTTTTTTACCTTGTGCTTCGCTCACCGACAGGTAAGTTTTTACAGAGGGTTTTTTGGTCTTTTTTTTGTCTTTTTTAGGCAATCTTTTCCATTTTTTTGGCCTTTAATAGATACCTCCACTGTTTTGGCGAATTATGTCTAGCCAACATATTCGTAAACGCTCTCGTTCTCGAGATTCGTCGCGTCATTCGTCGCATGCGAAACGACACAAGTCTTCACGCTCTAGCGACGAGCGTCAGGAGATGTTCTGTACTGTTTTGGCTAATCTAAAGGATTTAAAATCCGACATAAGCTCGTGTAAGGCGAGAATATGCGACTTGGAAAACCACAGCTCGTTTAATGGCGTCTCAGAGCCCCTGCAAGACCAAAGCTTTGAGCGTGACTCTGACACACTCTCCGTTTCGGCGGGAAACGATTTCGACCGCCCAGACTCGTTACAACAGGGTCAAATGGCTACTCAGCCACCAAATTTGGCTATTCAGCCACCAAATTTGGCTATTCAGCCACCAAATTTGGCTATTCAGCCACCAAACTCGACTAATCAGGCATCAATACCAACAGCTATCAGCGCTCAAGCGGAGACCTTCCAGCAACAACCGGAAGCGACAGAGAATATTCCAGCCAGTCTTTATGACCCTGAAGCCTCGGCCACTTCTTGGGCCCCCTCTAGTGAATTTACTACCTTTTTGGAAAAGAATTTCCGAAGAAGGCTATCCTACGACCAAGTATGTGACATACTTGACGAACAGGCCGTTCCCGCCGTAGATTCACTTTTGGCTCCAACTTTAGACCAGTCCATGTTCCATCACGTCGCTCCTCAAAACAAAAAATTCCTTCAGGAGCGAGACAAGGAACTGGCTAACGTCCAACGATCTATGCTTAACGCTACTGGCCCATTGTGTTCACTGCACGACCAACTCGAACAGGGCGGTAATCTAGCTGCATCGGAGCTAAAAATAATTTTGGAGCAAACGCTTTGCCTCTTAGGCTCCGCCAATACACAACTGTCGACTTTACGTCGCAAAAAAATGCTTGCCTCTATTAACAAATCGAAAATCGACCTAGCAAATCAACCCTTGCCCAATGCAAGGAAATCGCTTTTTGGCGAGGATTTCCCGTCTATCGCCTCTAAAGAGGCAGAATTATCCCGCGGCCTCGCTAAAAATTTGGCACCATCAAAGGCGGCTGACAAAAGTAAGCCTAACTACCCAGGGCCGCGTGACTCAAGGTACTCAAACCTCCCGTCCAATAATGCTGCCTCAAAAAATGGGAAATATCAAAATTTTCGTCAACGACCAAAATTTTTTTCGTCCCCCCCGGCTACAGCCACAGCAGCGCAACTCCCACAGTTCATCGAACAGTGGAAAAGCATAACGTCGGACCCGAGGGTGTTAGAAATTGTTTCAGGAATAAAAATTATTTTTCGTTGCGTTCCTTTTCAAATGTTGCCTCAGGTGACAAAAGCCTTTCCGGAGACAGTTTCCATTTTAGAACAAGAGGTTCAGACCCTTCTAGAGAAGGGCGCAATACGGGAAGTTCCCTTCACAAAGGACGGGTTTTACAGTCGGTTGTTTTTAGTCCCGAAAAAGGACGGCAGTATGCGTCCCGTTATAGACCTAAGTCACTTAAACCGCTTCATAGAAACCTCTCATTTTCAGATGGAGCACTTAACAACAGTGAAGTCTCTCCTGAGACAAGGCCATTTTATGACCAAATTGTATTTAAAGGATGCCTACCTTTCGGTGAGTATCCACCTACAGAGTCAGAAATTCCTTCGATTTTTATGGAACAACAGAGCGTATCAGTTCCGTTCTCTCCCATTCGGTCAGAACATAGCACCTTCGGTGTTCACCCGCCTGATGAAACCTGTAACAGGGTTTCTGCGAAAACGGGGCATACGCCTGATCCTGTATTTGGACGACATGTTACTGATAGGTTCCACCCATCAGGAAGCCCATCTTTTCACTCAGATGGCCATGAATCTCCTAGAGTCTCTAGGATTCACAATAAACAGGGAGAAGTCGGTATTAACTCCTACTCAAGTTATAACATTTCTCGGTTTCACGATCAACTCGGTAACAATGCTCTTCACTCTTCCTCCCGAGAAAATTCAGAAATTACTGTCTCTATGTCGACAGATTCGCTCCGCCGACAAGATCCCACTTCGATCTCTAGCCCAACTTCTGGGCTTGCTCGAATCATACCGCACAGCGGTTTGGAAAGCACCCCTTTATTTTCGACACTTACAAGCCCTCCTCATCAGGGGCCTCAGTCAGTCGAACCACAACTACGAGACTCATGTTCCATTATGCTCCCAAACCAAAGAGGAGATCAATTGGTGGCTGAAGAATTTGACATATGTAAATGGCAGCCCAATTGTTCTCCCAACACCCGATCTAACAATCTTCACCGACGCTTCCTCGAAGGGCTGGGGGGCAGTTCACGGCAATGCTCGGACCAACGGAAGGTGGTCTGCCACAGAAAGACTCTTACATATAAATGTTCTCGAGTTGAAGGGTGCGATGCTGGGAATTTAGTCTCTTTTCAGGAGACAACGTTCAAAGATAATATCCCTGAACATGGACAACTCAACCGCAGTTGCGTACGTGAATCACAAAGGTGGAACCCACTCTCCGGACCTTCTCAAAGTAACGCTAGAACTTTGGGATTGGTGTATCAAGCGCGATCTCTATGTAGTAGCATATCATGTACCGGGGAAAACCAATGTGATTGCAGATTGGGAATCGAGAGATTTTGGGACAACAGCGATTGGATGATAGACCCAGTAATTATTTTCTCTTTCCTGAAGAGCTGTTCCACAGACCTGTTCGCCTCGCGTCTCACTCATCAACTGCCCAATTACATCAGTTGGAGGCCGGATCCCGGGGCACTTCACTCGGACGCATTCAGTGTGGATTGGAAACACCTAGAAGGATATGCTTTCCCCCCATTCAACCTAGTACCACGAGTTCTCAGCAAAGTAGTGTGGGACGAGGCGGAAGTGGTTCTTGTGGCTCCAATATGGCAGGCTCAGCCTTGGTGGCCCCTTCTACTCGGTCTGCTAGTGCAGTATCCCATTCTCCTTCCATCATCAACGAAACTTCTGATAAATCCGACAGACCCTCATCAGATCCACCCAATGAACTCCCGGCTCCATCTGGGCGTGTTTTATATCTCAGGCAACGATATCAGGCAGAAGGCCTTTCGGAAAATGTTGCCCAATTACTCATCTCAGCAACTCGACGTTCCACTCAAAAAACATATGACTCCAGCTGGAAACGCCGGTGCAGCTGGTGTCTTTCAAGGGAAGTTGATCCTTTTTCAGCATCTCTGAGGAATGCCCTCTCCTTTCTAGCCGATTGCTTTGACGAAGGTCTCCAATACCGATCAATTAATGTATTACGTTCTGCGTTATCTTCTACACACCCCAAGATTGATGGGTTTGCAGTCGGACAACACCCTTATGTTCTTAAATTAATGAGGGGTATCCTCAACAATCGACCCCCTAGACCTCGATACTCCTATACATGGGACGTGCACCAAGTAACAAAGCACATCAAACAGATAGGT